CACTTAACTCGCCAGCGTCGCGCACGGGTGAATTATAATATAGGAAACTTGCGTCGCGAGGAGCTTTGTTAAAAGCGCTTGTTAGCAACGATGGGAAACATGGGAAACAACTAACATTAATATAATAAGAAAAACGGGTAAATAGGTGCTATCTTGAAAAGGATATCCCTAAGTCAAAAGATAGAATCTAAGAAAAGATACAGTGGAGAATGAAATAAGAGTAAAACATATCTTGAAAAGTAAAAGAATATACGCGTCAATCCCGACGCTACGCAGCAAAAAAATTTTTTTTAAGTAAGAGAAACCTTATTATAATTCCAGACAGATAACTTTGTAGGCACTGAAAAAATCCAGGGGAAATCGCCATTCGAAATAAAAAGTTTTTTCTATCATCCTGGGATATATTTCGAGGAAATTGGATTGATGCATCAGATACAAACTACATGGAAATTAGTTATCAAATTAGATATTACCGCTCTAGGAATACGAGCACAGCAATTACAAAATTACTTAGAATAGACGGACAGCGATGCAAAAGTATTATTGAATCAGTCAAATTTATTATACTTGCCAAAATATCTTGCAAATAATGCATAGAGACAACACGAAACTAACAACACTATTAGCACGCCTACAAAATATATATAAAACCTCTGACAGCAAGAGAGGATTACTAAATGCGATTACAATGAGCAAAACATTATTTGGAACAATGGATGCCGATGACGCGCTGCACATAGACGAGCAAATGCAATTATTGCGAAACAACCAACAAATCTTACAGCATGCTGCAAAAAACCAGATAAAAATTATTAACGCCTCGATATGCCATATAAATGAATTAGAAAAAAATCATCAGTATATTATATATACTTCATTATATATATTATAATGAAGATTGAAGATTATAATGAAGACTAAAAAATGTAACAACACGAATAGAATTGCAATTAGCTAAATACACGCAGCGAGAGGATATGGACAAAAATTTACTAATACTGAGAACAATAATGACGGATTTAATTAGAGATGTCGAGAACACTATTGACTATTTATCACTAGCGAAAGACGGAATAGTGCAAACCCGCCTATTACCGCTCGAAAATATTATAAAAGAATTGCGAGAAGCCGTGACGCAGCTAACAGAAGGCTAACACTTTCTATTTAAAATTACCATAGACAATTGGCGCACTATACAGAAATATATGAAATATAAATGCCTACTACGATGAAACAGATATTTACACAATCTTCCGATTTCCAGTAATCGCTTTCCCAACATTCAAATTAATAAAACCGATCCCGATTCGCTATTGTGTACTCATTAATAACAAAAGATGTCACTTTTGCTTTATCCAAAAAATCTGAATATAACGTGTGTGGCTATACCTTGATACAAACCGAACATCCTAAATTGCTAATCGTAGAAACAAATAAAAATAATCTCTTTGCTAAACTCATCAGAATCTCTGTCGAATTTAGATATTTTCACTTACATTAACTCTAAATTTGTCTACGTCGAGAAACATTTAAAGACACAAATACAAGATATACCATAACATTCTTGAACAAAAGTGTAAATTAGAACAACAGGTTTTGAAAAACGCTATATCGATAGCTCACACCCCCTGATATTTTTGCATACAACTTAATGAAAGGTCCTGGCTACATGGCTACTATTTCGAGTGAAGTGCTCATATTATTAAATGCGTTCCAATCGAAGTTACACGTCGCACCACCGAAATCTGTTATTTAGAACTACCAGTATCTTTACAAAATAGATCTATGTATTTATTTCCTAAAACTCACATTTTAGTTAATTGCGGTACGCCGATCGACTGCAACCCTCTCATACCTGTTATGTATCAGATAAAAGGAGGCTGGATAAGTCTTACTCCGAAACCCGCTGCAGTACTATCGCCTCAGACCTAGAACCAATGACTAAACCCGTCTGGAAATATGTTGATGCTGAGCATCTTGCTGATAGTGGAATTTATTTCCAGGAAGATCTCTCCAGGTTACGCGACCACATCATGTTCCCTGTCGAGTACCGCTCTCCTCAACACTTTCACACGGACTGCAGCCGGACAACGCGTCCCTTTGGCGGGCATCTCCCTCTCGGGTTTTCTCGATGAGCAAACCCTTGATAAAATAGCTACCTCTGCCGGTGAAAAATTGTGGGATGGCTTTCTGAAGTTTGGGACTGTCAGTGCGGGATTTATTGGTATCTGGATGTTGATAAGGCTCATTAAATTGATTGCAGACACTGCGATACACGGTTATGCATTCAGTGTATGGATGGAGTTTGCACCTACTAGAAGCAATCTTCTCCTCTATTACAAACCTCCTGCTGCACTTGGGGAAACGCAGCCATCGTCTCCTCAAGCGGTTGAAGAAGGAATCTCAAACGAAACTTGCCCGCGTGGACAAACCTCAACCTACAGCACACATGTCCTTCCATGAAACTCAGCCATTATATCTAACCGCAGCAATCGAAATGGAACTTCCTAGGGGAATAAACCAGCGCGGAGCCATCTCCAATAAGAAGATTCCGTCGAGCGCAACGCATGCGCAAGGAAATTCATTAAAGTGAGTGCAGCAATCAAATAGACGCAAACGTGTTACCTATAGTATGTGCAAAGTTTCTGCCAGAACAGCTAATGAAAGTGACTTTATAGGAAAGAGCTTCAACGAACAATCAGTGTTCATATAATCTTGCGTCTATAGTTTCCATAAATTATTACTATAAGTGACTCAAATCTCACCCTGCATTAAGCTCTCAGAAGTAAATAACGTGTTCCTCCCGTTATTTACTTTCTTAAGGAGGGGGGTGTAACGTCCGCAGAAAATTAAAACTTGCGGACGTTCATCCAAAATGATGTAGGTGCAGTCGAACCTTAGGTTAACGCATGCGTAACTTTAAATATTAAGATATAAGATTCTAAATATTGAAATTTTAAATATTAAAATATATAATTTTAATATTAAGATTTGAATATTAGGATATAACTTTCATCATTCTATAGTCTTACCATTTTATATATATATATATATGTTC